TTGTCACAGTTGAAAACTATTAAAAAATGTAAAGGAAGCACTGTCCTTTTCTGGATCTGGCTATCCAAATGTACACACTAGGATAAGTGAGAAAGAATACAGAACCACTGAATAATTTTTACAAAAGAAATCTCAACAAAGATTTATGAAGCAGAGTAGGTGAGAAGAAGTGGACAAGATTCCAAGAGATGAAGGTGATATATCACATTTCTATGATTGCAAAGTTATTGTTTTTTAGTTACTTTGTTCTTGCCCCTTTATGGACTGACACCCAGAACCAGTAGCAAACCTTTTTAAAGGCACAGAAGTAGGGCTAGATTTTTTTTAAAGGTGTTCAATATGCAGAATAGACAAATATGAAACATCTGACAGAACATCTGCAGTGGACATGGCTTTTGAAGCAAGCTTTGCCTTTCTCCTAGCAGCTGAACTTGTAGGTGAAATACTCCATAGTCCATCCTTATAGAAGGGGGACCAGGAGAGCCAAAGCAAACATATCTATTTGCAACATTATTTGTGGTTTGGATAAAAGGTTTGCAATTCTGTAGAACAGTATTGAGTTTTAAATACTGTTGCAGAATTTTAAAGAAACCCAGAGGTCAGCTTCACTCATGCTCTCTGCTGAGCGGCTGAGGGTTATCACAACAAAAAGTCTACAGATGAAGTGTAGCAGTTTTGGGCAAAACAACAGAGAATACTTTTGGTATGTTATGGAATAAGCTTCCATGGACTATTGTGCAGTTTATTAAATATATAAAGTACGATACTACAGGTCAAACTAGATGTGATATTAATGATGACTCACATTCTTTGGCTCCATATGCTACTGCTGCAAGTGGTTTAACAAACAGCAAGCAAGAGGGCTTCCAGTAGCACTGCACAGCAGGGCAGTGTGTCTTAAACCCTTTTGCCAGCAGTGGTCCTTAACAGAACTCTTGTTATGTCTGCCATTTGCAGAGGAGCTTTCTTCCCATAGGCATGGGAGCAGACAGATTCCAAATGATTTTAAACTTCCATCTTCCCCCAGAACCATGATCTCAATGTGGCTCACTCATCCCAACCTGTCTGTCACTGCTTTTGAGCAAGCAAACACAAACCAAGGATGCATCTACACTGCAGGAATAATACAGTTTAACATCACTTAAAATGCTGTAGCTCCATCCTATAGAATTCTGGGACTTACAAGGTCTTTAGCCTTTTCTGCCAAAGAGTGCTGATGCCTCACAAAACTAAAATCCCAGGATTGTATAGGATGGTACCATGGTGGTTAGTGATGTCAAACCACATTATTTCTAGAGTGTAGATGTGCCCAAAGTAAAGGACTTTGCATCTAGTTTGGCTCTCATTTGGCCAGTAAGGATAGTATTTCATGCATCTGATGAAGAGGACTCCAGTCCCTGAAGCCTTATGCCATTTATACATTTGTTAGGACAGCATCCTGGTGAGAACTGGTGAAGCAGACATTTCTGCCAATGCAGTTCCACAGGATGGCAAAGAGGATGGAGCTGGCTAATCCAGGCAAGGTGGGAGAAAGCTAGAATCTTAGAATCACAGAACCATAGAGTTGAAAGAGACATGCAATTCAGTCCCATCCCATTCTTCCATGCAGGAACATACAACCAAAGTGCTCCCGACAGTAGCCATCCAGCCTCTTCTTTAAAACTTCCAAAGAAGGAGACTCCACCACTCTCCGAGGCAGCATTTTCCACTGTCAAACAGCTCTTACCATCAGGAAATTCTTCCTAGTCTCTGGAGCTGCGGAAAATAAACTTGCTCCATCCTCAATATGATATCCCTTCAAATATTTAAACATGGCTATCATGTCACCCCTTAACCTTCTCTTCCTCTTCCCGTGGTTTCTGGATCTTCCATAATTATAATCACCTTCTTCTGGACATCCTTCTTGAATTGTGTTGCCCAGAACTAGACACAATATTTCAGGTAAGGTCTGACTAAAGCAAAATAGTGGGTACTATCTTTTTCCTTGAACTAGGCACTATACTTTAGGAATGCAGCCTAGAATTGCATTGGCTTTCTTAGCTGCTGCATCACATTGTTGACTTAAGACTCCTATATCCCTTTTGCATGTACTGCCATCGAGCCAAGTGTCACCCATCCTATATCTGTGCATTTAACTGTTACTGCCCAAGTGTAGTATGTAACATTTCTCCCCGTTGAATTCATTTTGTTAATTTTGGCCCAGCTTTCTAATTTGTTACAGTCATTTTCAATTCTGATCCTGTCCTCTGGGGTATAAGTAACCCTTCCTAATTTAGTGTCATCTGCATATTTGATAAGCCTGCCCTCTGTTCCATCATCCAAGTCATTGATAAAAATTTTGAATAGTACTGAGCCTGGGACAGGACTCTGTAGCTAGTCACTTCTCTCTAAGATGAGGAAGATGTGGTCTCTTCTAGCTCTGTGATTCTGTAGACGTCATCACATCACCCTGCTGTCACAATCACACTCGATTCTTAAATGAAAGCATACTAGTTTGGCATCATTTCTTATCATACTTTCTCCTGCAATATCGTTTTGGTGATCTGTGGTTGCGAGATGTGTGTTCTGCATTGCCAAATGTCACCTTCTGGGAGGAAGGGCAAGAACAAGTGATTGCAGCTGCCAACTTCCTGAACTTCCAGATACAATCAAAAGAAAGCTGCAATCTGTCAACTCTATAGGTAAAAGTGATCAAAATTTACAAAATGAGCCTGCTTCTACACAGGAAGCAACAAAGATTAAGGATTTATCACACACAGCTTTAAAACTGTGATTAGAGTGGGGGGAAACAGCTTTGGCAATACGTATTGCATGCCACCACCTCCATCTAGTAGTTGCTGTGTCCCTGAAGTGTGGTTAGGGCATCACCTTCACTGACAGGGGAAATTCATCAATGGCTTCACAATTGCACCAGTCCTCAGCTGCAGCTGTGATAGCAACAGTCACGCCATGCCAATGTCTTGTCCTCTCTCCCTGTCCCCCTTCTCCTCAATATTCCCAAGCAGGCTGAGTCCCTTTATGATTATCATTTTGATATTTCTTTCCTCTATTTTAAAAAACTTAAATCACTGTAACAGAGCTCTAGAATTGCAGGAAAAAGTGAAAATCAACATAAAATTAAATAAAATAAACCAAAAGGCGTGCTGGGTAGGACATAGGACAGGGAGGCAGAGTTAAGGGGGAATTACAAAGAGATCACAATGATGCCAGCAGCCCCAGTTGCATGATTGAGAAGATGTGCAATAATGGCTGCTCACAAACAGATATAATTCTGAAGTCATAGGCTTTCATGGCTGGCATCCATAGTTTTTTGTGGGTTTTCAGGCTGTGTGGCCATGTTCTAGAAGAGTTTCTTTCTGACGTTTCACCAGCATCTGTGGCTGGCATCTTCAGAGATATAATTCTGCTTTAACAAGTGTGACTGCGGCAAGATGGATAAAATCTCCTCAGTCAGGAAGACACATAAATTCTCCTGTTACCTGATCCATGTTTAATTTATAAAATCATAGAATTAATCAGAAGACTTTAGTGTACTGCATATACTCATGTATAAGTCTAGAAATTATAGTAAAAAATTGACCCAAGAACCTGAGTCAACTTATCCACGGGCCAATGTAAATACTGTACTTTAACTCTTATTTTTAAAAAGGGAACCACCACCACAACCACCACAACCACCTGGTGAGTGTAATCTGTCCTGGAAGCACTGGACCCCCTCTGCTCTCTCATCCATCCAGTCTGTTCTGTGAGCACAAACAATTATGCCAGCTGGAATTTTATAAGTTCTTTGGCATCGTTTTCCTTTGTGCCATTCTTTACATCCTTTGTTGCATGTCCCTAATCTTTACCCTTGGTTTATCCACGGTTCATATCGAAATCCATAATTTTGGACTCAGAACCTGCACTTAACGTATACATGAGGTCAACTTATGGTTGAGTATATATGATAAATAATTAATATTTTCCATAGTCATTTTAGATCATTGCATTTAATTATAAGGAACTGAAGATGTTGTGCGATCACAGAGTTCTGGTCCTCTGCAGTTTATAGCCTGTAACAGGGAGTAAAAGGAGAGACATAGAGATCAGAAGTCACTCTCAGGTTCTTGCTGAAGAATATGGTGGTGGTGTGCAAAGAATATGGTGATGTTGTGCACCACCCCTTTTAATGTTATAAAGAAGGTATAAACAGAAATGTGTGCTGTATTGTATAGCAAAGCCTAGCTCAAACTGTTCTTCTTGTTCCAAAGAAAGGAGGTGCAAAGGTTTGGCAGAGCTCATTGATGCCTGGGAAACTTCTTATGCCAACGGTGGAAGAGTTACAGTTGAGCTGTCCATTAGCCAGGACTTGTTCAAGCAGCCTCAGTGCCTGATTGAGGGCTGGGTTACACAAACTAGTAAGTTCAGCTGAACTGACCTATCTGTTGTGGGGCTTATTTATTTATTTATGCCATTTCAAAATCCAATTGGAAAATAAATGTATAGAACGCCTTCCTTGGGCAACATTGGCGTTTTGTTTTTGTTTTTAACCATCAAGGAATCTTGTTGTGGTACCTGAACAAATATTTTGTGGTTCAAGCCCACACTTGATGAGTGAAGTGGTATAGCCAGGAACAGAGACATCTCCCATCAGGAAACAAAGGACTTCTGGAACTATGGCAAATGTTTTAAAATTCATTCTTTAGACACAACCACCTGTATTTTTCTGAGCCACTAGCTGTGTGTCTGATTCTGTCACCAGTTTCCTGGATATATGCGGATATGCACACACAAACTGTCTCTACTCTCCTATAATCAGTCCGTATCGCATGACACCATTATAATACTATGTTGTTGTTGCTGTTCTTGTTGTGTGCCTTCAAGTCATTTCCAATTTATGGGGACCCTAAAGCAAACCTATCCCGGGGTTTTCTTGGTAAGATTTGTTCAAAGGAGATTTGCCATTGCCTTCCTGAGGCTGAGAACATGTGACTTGCTGAAGGTCATCCATTGGGTTTCATGGCTGAGCTGGGCATTGAACCCTGGTCTCCAGAGTCATAGTGTAAAACACTGAAACCACTATGCTATGTTAGCTCCTGCCACTTTAACTGCTATGGCTCTATCCTATGGAATCCTGGGATTTGCAATTTAAGGATGAGCATTTAGAACTCTCAGCCAGTGGCTCTTGGGCCTCCCTAAACTACAAACCCCAGAATTCCACAAGATGTTGCCATGGCAGTTAAAGTGGAATATAGCATTATAACAATGTTGTGTGATAAGGATCAGTTTACCCAATTATTCATACGAGGCAGCTATTAGGTATTGCTCGTTTTGCATCTCATGCTATCTCTCCCCCATCCCATTTTGCCAAAAACAAGCTGTCATCCTTTTGGCAACAACTTTCACAAGCAGAGTTTGGCAACCGACAATACCATTTCCTGGTAACATTTGAAATTCTCAGGTGATGACATGGAATAGCTTATGCAGGGATGAGCCAGTGATCATATTTATCTCTCTGCCAGAGGTAGGAATCATGAGGCCCTCCAGATGTTGTTGGACTGCAACTCCCAACGCTTCTCACCCTTGTCTGTGCCACCTAGGGCTGCTGGGGTTTGCAGTCCAATAACATCTGGAGAGCTGCAAGATTCCCACCTCTGGCAGAGAAATAAACATAATCATTGGTTCCTGCCTGCACAAGCTGCTGTGAAAGGAATAGGAGAAAAGGCCAACAAATGCCAGCAATCTGGAGGAGGCGGCGGTGGCGACGGCGGCAACAAGCCCCAGCTTTCTTGATTTAAAGATGGGTGAAGGATGTAGGCATCCTGGATTAATTGAACATGGTGTCTTTAAAAAGTAACAAGGGAAGACTGGGCACTGCTCCTGAAATAGTCGCCTAGGGAGAGGAGTCCAGAGTGCCTGTAAATTGCAGGGCAGGGTGGGCACGCTGTCTTCTGGACTGGGAGGCAGGGGACAGGAGTCATGCCATGGCCAGGTTTTTGTTGCTTGTGGGCAGAGCCTCCTTAAAAAAAGAATGTGTGAGCAGCATCACAGGCTATATTTACCAGGATGACTCAGAACTCACCCCTGCCCGGAATTTGTGACACTGCATGGGCTGGGAAACAGGACAGCCAGCCATGGAAGGGGCACATTGCTCAAGGAAGGAGAAAGCAAGGGGGATGCCAAGCCAGGAGCCAGGAGATTCCCCCAATGGCCAAGTGCAGGGCTAGGGAGATTTAAAAAAGAAGAGTGGGAGGATGCAAGAACAGGCAA